TAATCCCAGCTACCTGGGAGTCTGAGACAAGAGAATCGCTTAAGCCCAAGAGTTTGAGGTTGCTGTGAACTGTGACACCGTGGCACTCTATCAAGGGCAACATAGTGAGACTCTGTCTCAAAAAAAAAGGATTTCTCTGGATGGAAATCCAGAGAATGGACTGGAGAGGAGCAGAATGGAAGTTGGAGACCGCTGAGGTCATTATGGTGACATGTATTATTGGTTCCTTGGGTCATACAGCAACTTGCCCTGGAGGGCTGGCAGCAGAAACAGGAACGATGTTTTAGGTACACTTTGAAGGTAGAGTTGGTAAGGATTGGGTCATGGACTGGACGTGGGGATGAAAGAGAAGGAGGAGCTGGGATGACCTCCAGGACTCTGGGTCGGGCAGCAGACGGAGGCGGGTACCACTTGCTGAAATGGGAAGAAGAGAAGGGGAATGCATTTTGGAGAAGGATGGGTAGATTTTTGTGGCACCAGTGAGACTTCTAGAACAAATACAAATGAGTATGGAGCTTAAGTGAGAGGTCTGGGCTAGAGACAAACTTGGAAGTGTTTAGCAAACAGATTTTAAAACCCAGAGACAGATGAGAAGAAGAAAGCACAAAATATAAATAAGAAAGCAGCTGAGGCCAAGGCCTAAAAGGATGGCAGGCTTTGGAGACTAGGCAGAGGGTGAGGAGGCACCAGGAATCCACAGGAGAAGGAGAGGGTGTCAAGGAATGCAAGTTTCAAGAGGAAGAGCATGTTCAGGGGTGCTAAATGCTCCTGAAAGATCAAGTAAGAAAAGAATGGGCAGTGTCCTCCAGAACAGTTCTCAACGGGGGCCGATTTTGCCTCCCAAAGATGCGTGGCAATGTCTGGAGACACTTCTGGTTGTCATAACACGGGGGAGCTGATACCGGTATCCAGTGGTAGAGGCCAGGGATGCTGCTACACAGCCCCTCAATGACAAGGAATGATCTGGCCCCAGGTGTCACTCGTGCTGGGCTGGGAAACCTTGTCCTGGAGGAGGAGGTCATTGAAGGTGAATGGCACTCTGGATTCAGCTCTTGCACTCAGAGCCACCCCTTGCCTGTCCTCGAATCTTAGGGTCACTCAATGGATACGGAAGAAAGGGCCTACAGGGCACAGCCCGGTGCTGTTTGTCAAGCATGGCCGCCCAGGGGATCTGCAGGCAAAAGTCATTCTCCATAGGCCTGGCAGTTAGGGGGATGCAGCCATCATCAGGAGCCTGCAGTGATACCTTAAGCAGCCCCAGGGGACCCCCTTGCAGCTCCAACCCCACCACCATTCCACACCCAGAATCCGGACTGCAGTGGGAACCCACCCAGAGGGAGACAGTGAGTTTCCTGGGACACTCAGCCAGGGACTGAGATGAAGAGAAATAACAAATTCAGAAGGCAGACCATTTCCAGACAGATTTCTGCCCAGCACACTGTAAATAATTAACACTCTCCTCCCCACCACAAGTTCCCCACTGAAATGAAACCTGACCTTGTTCTCTGCTTACAACCCCTCGGCAGCCCGCCTTTAGAGTTCAGCTCACGTTTGACTTCCCCGAGTGAGCTGTCCTGGGCACGCTGCTCCTCACCCAGCAGGGGGCTGGAGGCAGCAAAGTTCACGCTAGATCACACCAGA